AAATAATAAAACCTTTGCTTATGAGGAGAAAGTTTGTATAATGACAAATAAACTGCAAGCCACTCTAGTTGAAGAACTGGCTTTGATTTTTTAATATAAACATAATTAGTAACTAGTAGCAACTTGTCAGTTAATAGAAAAAATAACTGCTGTTTGTATTACATTTACTAGTTAGTAGTAATAGCAGAGGACAGTTAAATGTTTGCAGAGATAAGAAAATTTGGGATACTTATGCACAAGGATACTTCAGATGATTATGGAAGTTGAATCCCTGTTTTTATCTTCATTCATTCATTGATCATGTATCTTTTGAGCACCTACTATATGCACTTTGATAGTATTTGGGAATAAAATAATAAGCTAAAATAAATTAATTACATTCTAGTGATACAAACAGATCACTAATCAAACAAAATAGACAATAATCAAAAAGAATAGTGATGAATATCTAATCATAAACTGAAGGAAAAGAACAGGGTTTTATAGAATATATTACAAAGGTATCAGAATTGGTGTTAAAAGAGGCTTGTCAGAGAAAGTGATACTTGAGCTTGGTTTTGAAGGATGAGTAGGAGTTTGTTAGGTGAAAAATGTTGAGGAATACAAAGAGAGTGAGCATCCCAGTCAAAGGGAACAACATCCACACAATCTCGTGACAGAAAAATCTAGTGGGTCTGAGATACAGAAAGGTAGAGAATGATACAAATGAGTCTAGAGAGGGCTGCATTAGGTAGACCAAAAGAAGGCTTTGTAGACCATTTGAAGGATTCTGATCTTATATCTAAAATATGAAAGATAAATAATGGATTTAAACTGGACGGTGATATGATGAGATTTGCATATTAAAAAGACCACTCTACCATCAATGACAGGAGCAAAGAATGGTACAAAAGCTGTTAGTAGAAGGGGAAGATGGTGGTGTCTTGGATTAAGGTAATGGCTGTGTATAAATTCAAGACATATTCAGCATACAAGTTGATAGAGTTTGGTCATAGGTCAATATGGAGTTGAGGAAGAGAAGAAGACATCCAGGATGACTTGCCAAGCCAGATAGAGAGTGGTGCCATTCACTGAAATAGACGACACCAGAGGAAGGCCAGGCCTGGGAAAAAATGAAAAGAATCTCGGATGTGTTGAAGTACTTTGCAGAATTGGAAATACCCAATGTGAGTTAGCTAGATGGGTCTGGAGTTCAGAGACAAATCCAAGTTTAAGAGTACAAAATAAACAGAGTAAAACTAAGGCGGTGAGTTTTTGGTGAATATACAGAAATACTTTGGAAAGGAATGCCAGATCAAAAGAAAAAAAATAGTTGTAAATTGAGACAAGAATAATAGAATGAAAATATTTCGCAAAGCAAATACTAGGAAAATAATAAATGGTTTTATGAGTATAAGAAATTAGTAAAAGCTGGGGTGTAGTGAACAAACAGCGTTGAGTCAAAACAAAAGAGCAGAATTAAAACTCCTGGTCCTTGAAACCAATATCTGTCTTTCAGGAAGGGGTAGTTGAGTGGGGACTTATCATGTATGGACTAAAAGAGATAAACCTTTGAGATGGCAGGGTATGGGGTGGTAGATGAACAAAGCAGGTGGAACTTATAAAGCTTTTCCCTTATTAAGATAATGACAATAAGTTACTCTCAAAAGCGTCTATCAAAAGTAACCAGGTTGCTCCATGCTGTCTTGGAGCTGCCATATGAGCAGTGCAAGGCCAGTGAATTTCACTATAAAGGGACATGTAAGTAAACTCCTGCTAAAGCAAAAATCACATATTAATTTTAATAAAGTTATGCATATTCAAATAGAGATGTTTTTACTTTATATAAAAACAAATTTATACTCATATTTTAATAAGAAATGCAAATCAGAAAAACCATTTTTTTTTTTTACTAGAACAGCAAAAATTTAAAATAAAAGAAAGAAAAACAAAAACAAAAGCTGACCTAGACCTCTAGTTCTTAGGCATGAATAGCTATCTCAAGTCTTCAGAATGTCTAAATCTGTTTTTTGGTATTCCATCTAAAATTTCCCTTAGGTCTCTTTGAACTTCTAGCCCTAAGAATCAAAGAATTCTACCGATTTTTAACACGGAGTTAGGTGGGATTTGTTCTTATATGTCACGTGTTCCTTAGAATCTCAGAAAGAAACAGAGCCCTACATTCTGTTTCCTTTTTTTGAAGGCCAAGGTGAACATTTTTCAATTCCCTCATGGCTTCAGAAGTTTTACTTTTTCCTGTATTGCAAAAATGAAGTATTATTGGGGAAAAAAGGTACGTGACATGAACTATGAAGCAAAGTACATAGATTCACATAAGAAATAAACTCCAAAATAATCACTTCTATATTCAGCAGCTTTAAAATGAATAGAGAGCATTGTCTAGAATCTTTGTCTAGGAATAAAATTAAGGAGTTCCTGACCTTTTCTGGTTCTAGCACTTAATATGGCTTTTTTTTTTCTTCAAATATCTTTCAAGGCAAAACTACTCACTGTTATAAATGGTCTAATGGAAAAATAAACTCGCTAGAAAATCCCAGACTATGTCAGAATCCTTAGCAATATTCTCTCTGCAAGAAGTAAACAGAATAAAGCTTGAGGAAGCGAAAGTGATATCCAGTGATGTAATACACATTTTTCTTACATTTCCCCAATCCTAAGGATAATGTAAGGGAGCAGCTTTAGGATATTGACTGAGCATCGAGTTGTTTAGGAATGAATCAATACATTTATGTAGGATACAGACAAGATAAATAGTCCAAATATTTAAGATCTAAAATACTGGATGGCAACTCCTTCTTCAGGCTTCAGTACTACTAGGATGTTTGTCTTTTTCTTACAAAATACATTCAGCTGCCTGTGTTCGACATTCAGACTACTTCAGTGTCAAGACAAGGTCCAACATTAATAAAATAGGATATAAATATATCACAATGCAACAGGAACAATCTTGAATTTATATGCTATTTCCAATATCTTATTTGAAAGACAAATTTCAGTATATTCAGTTTTGATTAACAGCCACACCAAGAAAAACACTCTGCATGTATTCAGCAAGGGTAGCAGCAATGCATCAAAAACATTTCTTGAATATTGTGAATGAAGAAGCCACAAACAACCCGGCATGAAAAGTGATATCCTGGAGTTCTACTTAGCTACAGCTGATAGAAATTCTCAGCAGCAAGCAGGAGACTCAGAAAACGCTGACTTTAATTACAAACTTTATTTGTCAATACAATTCACAGTTTATACATGGTGCATTCCACCATATGAATTTTCAGAACAGTTATTGAGGAAATGGGTGTAGCTTTCTTTCTAAAAGAGCCTGACTTTCTAAGATTTTGGTTAGAATTTTTTTAAGTTTATAAAAGTACCTTTAACAAGTTAACTGAATATTTACATTTCTGGCTTAAATTTAAATTTTGGAAAATAAGCATCTCTTAGTTTGTTTCTTTTTAAACATCCTGGGTTTATTTTTTAAGACCCTAATCTGAATGCCACTTATTCAGATACAGCTTCCCCACCAAACAAAAAGTAAAAGAAATCAGTTTTGCAATTATATTTATGGAAATTATTTTCTTTCTACATTTTAAAAATTATATATACAATGTACAGCAGATGTAAAGTATGAAAATAAAGGAAAGGGTAGGAATTTAAGGGATGCATTTACTGAACTTTTGGAATCTTGGAAACATCCAAAGAATTACAAGATACAAAATTAAACTAAACAGGATAATCAGCCTTTTCTATCTAAAAAAAAAAAAAAAAAAAAAACTCTCAAGATTTAAATTGTGCTATAACAGCTTTTTCTCTAATGTCAGAGATGAATTATGCCTGCAATCTGCATTTTTTTTCCATGCGCAAAGTCACAGTGATCCCAATTTCAACTTCTGCTCTCACAGCCAGTCACAGCTGCTAAAGTCACCCACGGAAGGCTAGGACTGTGCCCTTCACTCACTGCTGTGTCTCCTCCCCTCATCTGGCAAAAGCGAACCAAGGAAAGAAAATTACATAAGCCTTTCATACATCAGAAAGCAAATAGATGCTGGCAGTGTAATGTTTATTAGCAAATATTCGTAACATATTGTTTTGCTGTTTGCTTTTCATCAGATTGGTAATTCACACCCACTATTTTAAATCACCTCCAGTAATACCCATTTTTAACCGTTGTCTTCCGTCAGATCCTTTATATATATATATGGATTTTCTTCTTTTCCGCCTTTAAAAATGTATAGTTAATAAGTGATTAATTCCAAATACTGCCAGGAAAAAGGGGAGTGTTTGGAGCAGCCAAAGTTACCAGCCTGGTCATAATTACATTGTATATGTGTACCGTGGGTACCTGAGTCAAATAAATACTCAGAGGGGACATCTTTACACCTCATTTCTCTGCAGTGCCTTTAACGCTAGGCAACGCTGAGTGTTGCTTCAACGTCCATCATTTAATTTTGGCATCTATTCCTTCTTCGGGCATCATCGCATCAGTCATTTTTACACACGTTTCCAGCAAGGTATGGTATTCAAACGGGAGACCTGGGGTAAAAGGCTGCAGAGGTGAGCCTAGGGGTGGGGGCGGGGAAGGAGAAACCACACATTAGCTAGAGAGGTTCTGTTTCTTCATAAGATAAGGCACTGACAGAAAATTTCTTAGGTAAAAGGCTGCATAAGAATTTCTTGCCATTTACAAAAAGAAATGTTGTCATCCATAAACGGTCCGTCTCTAGGCTCAGTTAGGTAGACCCTGAAAAGTTAAGGGCTGATCCCTCAAAGCTACATTATTACCGACAACAATGATATTTAATAATTCATTCTGAGGCCTTATGGCACATTAGGGAAAGAGGGAGGAAAACAGTCTGGGCGCAAAAAGGCATCAGACACTGCTTGTCATTCCACCGGTCAAAGAAAGTGGACCGTTCAACAAGCATCATTGGAAAGACAGTGCTGGCTCAGAATTCCAAATTTTCTTGATGGTAGATGACCATGATGGGTGTATTTATTTATTTTTTCCCCCTTTTGAGCTCATGCACAATTTTTAAAATGCTACCAGCAACAGTCATAAAGAGCATATAGAAGTCCTCACCTATGGCTATGCCACGCCTAAGGCTCTTCAAAGAGAGGGCTATTTAATGTTCTCAATCACAGCAATCTCTTCGCCAGCACAGTGTGGTGTCAAACCATTCAGATAGATACTTTCAGTCTTCAGTAAGGGAGGCAAGACATCCCTCTCGCTGGTCAGGTGGTTCACTGACAGGGTCCTCCTGCAAGGAGTCAGCTCCTGATTATGGTTGCCAGCCAGTTCTGCCGAGAGCTTCCGCTTAATGGAGGTGGCACGCTGGAACTTGTCGTAGATCTCCACGCTCAGCCGCCTCCTGGTTTCTTTGAATTCTGCGGTGACGTTGGCTGTCCACTCGGCAGCGTGTGCTCTGAACTCTCCCACCTGGAGCAAGCAAGCAGAGAAGGGATAAAGAGATAGCAACATGATGGTCAATGCTTTGTGTGCTTTATTTGCTGTTCATTTTATTTAGGAGTTCTATAAAGAAGATTGAAATAATATTTTGTAACACCGGTGGGCTGAGAATCGGTGTAAGTAGGCACATTGCACAGAGCATGATTTTATTTTATATAGATATGGCTCTAAAAATTAATCTATGAACTTAAACTCTATAAATCAGATGACATTTCAGAGGCTCTAATGTGCTTCTTTTTTTGTACATAAATCCTGTTATTGAAACTTTTGATGCTGCAAAAAGGCAATCTAACTTCTTAAAAATCATTTTGAGTATTTTTTTCATTTGTATGTAATTTCAAGAAGTATTTGGATATAGAAAACGCAGTAAGACACAGAAGCAGCAAGGCAGAGTAAGAGTCTGAAATACAGACCCAGGTGACCTGGGTTGGTTCGTATGACAGCAATGCTCTTTGCTCATATGTGAATGTAGGTTTGTTTTTTTTTTTTTTTGAGATGGAGTCTCACTGTGTTGCCCGGGCTAGAGTGCTGTGGCGTCATCCTAGCTCACAGCAACCTCAAACTCCTGGGCTCAAGCGATCCTCCTGCCTCAGCCTCCCGAGTAGCTGGGACTACAGGCATGCGCCACCATGCCCGGCTAATTTTTTCTGTATATTTTTAGTTGTCCAATTAATTTCTTTCTAATTTTTAGTAGAGACAGGGTCTCGCTCTTGCTCAGGCTGGTTTCGAACTCCTGAGCTCAAACAATCCGCCCGCCTCGGCCTCCCAGAGAGCTAGGATTACAGGCGTGAGCCACCGCGCCCTGAATGTAGGTTTTAGAGTCAGAAAGTTATGTGCAAGAACTTTGTATCCAATCCTATACTGGTCATTTAGGAACTCTCTATTTCTTAAGTAAGCAATAAAATATTTAGTTTCTGCTTTCAGGGAAAGCAAAGAAATGAAAACCAGCAAGCCCGTTTTGAAGCCCACTTGGAGAATGAAAGTCCAAGGCATAGTTTTTCAATAAATGTTTGTGGAATCTGTGAAGTTACTCAACCTGTGAGCTGTCATTTCCTCAGCTGTAGAACAAGCATCTTCATAGCACACAACTAGCAGGGGGACTGGGCTAATGTACTTCACAAACTGAAAGATCCCATGTATTTTTTATTATGTAGTTCTCTTTTGAGGGTTAAAGGAAAAAAATGTGCCAAGTCCCAAGCCTGTGCACACCAAAGTATCTGCTAAATGACCCTGAGCCCAACAGACATATTCTTTGACCTCTTTGAAAATTGTGTCTCCATGTTTGTGTCCTAAAATAGAAAAATGGCCAATTCTATGTATGGGAAATTCTACAATCCACTTCTTGACTAAACAGAATTTAATAATCTAGAATATTGCCTAGAATATTCTCCTCATATGAAATGATTTCTCTATTTTCTTCCAGCACTTCTGCTTTCAGCTTAGGGAGACCCACTGAACTCATTTCTTAAGCGACATGGGCTCTCCCTTGCCTGACAAGCAAATAACTACAACTCTATTATTATTTTTTTAATTTTATTTTTGCTTTGTTGATTTTTGTTTTAAACGTTGATATAGAAAATATAACTGATGGTTTCTAAATTTATTCTGACCTGCATTATAAGAAGGAATACATATATTACAATACCATGTATACATACACTTGGATAGCCATAGATGTGTGTGTGTGTGTGTGTGTGTGTGTACACAAAACAGAATGGAAACTTCAAATATTCTTGGTGGATGGCACATGGAAAATGAACTTTTTTTAAAAAATCCATCCATAAGCACACATACACGCATATTTAAGGATCATTTATTTTTTATTTTTAAAGTTCTTTTTATTTCCTAATTGTATTGTCCCAACAAGAAATAATTGCTTGTTATCTGGGTCCAGCTCCGGAAAAAGCAAAGCTAGGAAAATGCGAACTTTGTGGCACACAGAATTGGCAAGATCAAGCGTTCCTTAACCACCGAGGTAACTTAGAGGAAGCTTGCAGGGAAAGTGGTATGAAATTTATAGCAATCTAGCCTGGAGATACTTACTGTTCCTATAAGGGACCCTGTCCAACTATACTTAGATATAAGAGATTATTAAATGTTTAATTCTGCCTTCAGGGGACTCAGGTTAGAAAAGCACAGGTAGGGCAGGATCTATCTGTGGTAATGAACACCAAATCATCAGATGTGACTCCCTACAAATTCCAAACACACTTATAAATAAACCCTCCCGCAGTTTATATTCTTTTTCTGTTTACTATCCAAGTCATGTCTCAAGTCCTGGGGCACTGTCAAAATTTATGGATGGAAAACTAGATTTATTCTATTGGCTTTATTTCGGTTTCCAGCCTCTTACCTCACAACCAATCCTCCGTGAGAAGCAAGGCTGCAGACCTTCTCAGAGCCCACCTCCCCCTTTCTTTGATAATGGGCTCCTCTTTTTTTTAATCTTAAAAAAGTGTTCTTATTATAAAAGTGATAGACTTTGCTTACCGAAATTCAACTGTTAATCTATTTACTTGCTAATTCTCCACCTTCCCTAACAAGAATGTAAGTTCTATGTACATCCTCGGCACCTAGCACCTGGTATGCGGCAGACTTCCAATGAATACCTGTTAAATGAATGAGCGTATCACTGGGAATACATGCACCGTGTAATCTCACACCTCAATGATAGTAATTAGCGAAAGTATGGCACACATGCTACCAATTATTTTTCTTCTCTCAGTAAACACTAATCTTACTTTCATCTTCCATCTTGATTATCATCAATATTTTTGCAAAAAATAAAGGTCTTATATTAAACCCATTATTTTGTAAATGGCTTTTTTCTCTCATCTAATTTTCATTCTCTTTCCATGTCAGTATTCATTATTCTATCTCATAGTTCATCTCAGAGGCACAGTATTTCCCAGGATGATGGATATGGCATGATTAAATCATTGCCCAATCGATGGACGTTTGGGTGAATTCATTTTTTAAAATTTTTTTGCTATTGAGATAACGCTTCCACGATACGTACCTGTGTCTTTGTTAATGTGTACAAAGTATTACTGCAAGTGAAAACACTGGGTCAAAAGACATGAATATTTTCTGATTTTATAGATGCTGTAAAATTTCTGTCTGATTTTACTGAGAGAAATTTATTTACAGAAATAATGGGCTGGCGCTAGACCTCCAAGTTTGAGTCCCAACTCCGCCACATACGCACTATGTGTCTTAGGTAAGTTCTTTAACCTCTCTAGCCTTAGTTTCTTTCACAAAATGGGTGAAAAAATAGAATCCTCCCCACAGAGTTGGTATGACAATCAATAAGATATTTTTAAAAGAGCAAAGCCAAGCATGTAGCAGGTGCTAGACAGACATAATTTTACACAATCCCATGACAGAGGCTTGTGTTAATAGTGTCCTTTTCATTATGAGTATTTATTAAGCATTGTTTTCAGACTCGGGGTTCCCAGCAGCCCCCCTCTTTCCTTTCTGCACACTTGGGTGTCACCTCTGCCTTTTTGTGGCAAAAAAGCACCCGATTACTGGCACCTGCACAGAAAGTTCTTTAAATATTTTAATCATCTCTTTATTGCAATTTGAAATGTAAGTGGTCAAGATAAACGGGTCAAAGAGTGAAGACCTTCCTTAGACGTGATCTGAATTTTCTCAAGAAGCAAGTTTTGCAAAGTCACCAGGATCTCGCAGGTTGCATTAATGACACACACAAAACTTTCTGTAGAGCCAAGTGCCTCTACCAGTTAGTGATTCCCACCAATTAGGCAAAGGCTGAATGCAAGAAAATCTCAGATGTGTCGGAGTCCATAAACTTTTAAAATTTGTTATCTTTAATTACACTCAATCTCTGGCAGGGGCTGGGATTTTTGTCCACTTTGGAGAATATGTTAGAAATGTGGTGTGGCAGGTGGGGGAGACTGGGAGTCCCGAGTTGCAGCTCTATGACCACATCTATGTGCCCACACAGGAGAAACAAGTGAGATACACACACACACACACACACACACACACACACACACACACATAGCCATGAGCCATATAATGACTCAGACTTAGGTTTGGTCTGCATACACAACTGTGAGCCCATAACATTATAATATCATATTTTTCTGCGTCTTTCCATGTTTAAATACACAAATTCCATTGTGTTACAACTGCCTACAGTATTGAGGACAGTAACATGCAGCACAGGTTTGTAGCCTAGGAGCAACAGGCTATACCATACAGCCTAGGTGTGTAACAGATGACCCCATCTAGGTTTGTGTAAGTACACTCTGTGATGTTTGCACAACTACAAAGTCACCCAATGCCACATTTTCTCAGAATGTATCCCCATCATTAAGCAACACATGACTCTGTGTGTGTTTAAAGGGCTACACAATTACTAATTATGACAATAAGGCAGGTGAAGAAGATATGGTTTGCTAAGGGTACTTTTATTATTTATTAATTCAAAAGACTATACATCTTTTGAAGGAATGCAAGTCAAATTCTCGCTATATGAAATCCACCATATGGCGGGTTACATTAGGGCGAGAATACACTGCCTTAATTTCCTAAAGATACTGAAGATAATGAATTGACTCATGAAAGTGTGCACTTGGGCTACTCATTTAAACCAATAATAATATCCATTCCCTCTTTATTGTGCCCTATCTTTTTACTATTCTTCACAATACTGGACTTAAGGAACATAATTGCTCAAACCCAGAGCTTGAAGGTAAAGAGAAAAAAGAAGAAAAATGGAGTCCCTCAAAAACCAAAGCAAGGCAAACAACAAAAAAAAAAGAATTACTTTTTTTCATTTCTTAAAAAAAAAAAAAAACGGACCTCATAGGATTGTCTATAGCGATGTATTCATTAGTCATCAAATAACACGTAGTGTCCTAAAGTTCAGACTCACATCTTTTAATGGTGATAAAAATTGCATGTTCAAACTCTATAGATGCTTTTTTGTCTTCAAAGAAATTCAAAAATACGTTTCTGAGAGCATCACGTTTATATAAGTAAAATTTTTCTTGACTGAAATATTAACGCTTGTGGTGTTTTGGATAATAAAAATTAATCCTTATGCATTAACACATTTTCGTTTCTCCATTGGATTTTTATAAAAATTTTTCAGCAACTGAATCAAATAGTATTTCATCATTCTATAACCAAGCAATCGATATTACTATCAGCAAAGCTGTGCACCAAAAGGTGAGCAAAAACAGGTCCAAAGGATCACAAAGAATGTTCCTGCAGCTCATGCACTTGACTGAAGAGGTCCTCCCCAGGAGTCCATGTATTCTTAACTTTCACTTAATTCACAGATCACAGCCCAGGTGATCTGATTTCCAAAGGAAAAGGAAGGAAATAACAGTATTGCAAACAGGCACTTGCCCTCTAGACTCTAACGGTATAGTGACTCTCATCCATTTAGTGACTCTCATCCATGTCCCTAAATTCTTCGTCCTTAACTTGTCTGATCTTCACAGCTGCAAATAGCACTGCTGGCTGCTTCGTCTCTCCCAATCAGTCTTCGCTCTTGGTTTCCAAATCAGCACACTCTCATGCTTGTTTTCTCACTGTTCAGGCCAATTCTTCTCGATCAACTTTGTGGATTCCTTTTCTTTTACTCTCCCCTTAACTATCTTTGTTCATGGGATTCTATTCTCATTTTCGCTGGATGATCCACATTCTTCCAATTGTTTCAATTACCATCCATCCGCTGATGACTCCCAAATCCATATTTCTAGATTAAATCTCTACTGAAGTCTGTCTCTGTATACACTGACTGCTTATTAAACATTCTCACTTTAGATGACTCCCGGGCATCTCGACCTTGACATATCCCTAAGGGAAATCATTTAACTTCTCAAACTTTTTTTAATCTTCATGTCTTATCACAGCACCATTAAGCACTAAGTTTTCCAAGTCGAACTTCAACATAATTCCTCGATCTTCCTCTTACTCAATCTGACATCAACTCAACCCCAAGAGCTGCTGATTTATCTCTTTTCCTCTCAATTCCTTCCCATCTTTCCACTACTATTGTCAAAACTGCAGAACAATCCAGAACTTTGTCTTCCCTGTATTACTTCAGCAGTGTCCTAACCAGACTTGCTGACTTAATTCCATCTTCCTTCAAATGCATTCTCCACACAGCAGTCAGAGTGCCCCTTAGTAAACACAAATCGACCGCACACTTTCCTTGCAGAAAACCGTCCAATTGATTCCTATTTCACTTACAATAAAGTTCCAACTCTTTAAAGTG